GCTCCCCCACCACACCAGGACCTGCCCTCCCCGTCCCTGGGAAGTCGCCTGCTCGGGGTCAGGTTTTTGGAGGAGCTCAGCTCTTATTTCAGCACTGCAGCGCTGCCGAAGGCGGACTCAAAACCTCTGAAAAACAGCCCCTAGGAGTGGTTTTTGGAGACTCCATCCAGGAGGCCACCAAAAGGGCTGTGGGGTGCCCAGGCCACTCTCCTCCTCCGGGACTGGGGCTCCTGCTGCCTCCCCAAGGTAGGTCGGTGCACGCAGGGTGATGGTGCTGGCCAGGGCTGGGCACTGCACAAAGCCGCAGCTCCCCTTGGAGCCGTGGTCCGTGCTGAGGTTTTGCCCAGGGTGGTGAGAGCGTGTGGCAGCCCCAAACCCCCCCCCCGGGCCCCATGCCTGCCGCAGCTCCAGCACTGCTGGGTCTCAGGTGGTGCGGAGCTGTGGCTGCTGCAGCCGTGCCAAGCTCTGGGGACGGGGATGGTGCACAGGAGTCAGCAGGAGCACACGGCAGGACCACGAGAAGGGGGGCGCTCCCCAGGCTGAGCTGCCCCATGTCCACCCTTCCCCAATAAAGAGGCACTCGGGTGCTTTTTCTGACCAAACTGTTGCGTAGCTCATGGATGCTGCTGCAGGTCCTGCGGCCGGTGGCCAGAGCCCCAGCACTGCTGATGCTGCGGCCGCTGCTGCTCTGTAATGGACGGTCCTGGCTCAGCTCCGCAGCACTGACAGGGGTCCAAGGGCCGCGGGGCCGGTACGGCACCCAGCACGGCTGCACGAGCGTGCACCGGCCGTGCTCTTGGACCCCAGGTGCTGGCAGGAGGCTCCTGCTGGGGAATATGGGACAAACAAGGGAGTTAATGTGTAACGGCCGTACCGAGCTGCATTCACCAGTTCTGGCCTTGGCTGCTGCCCGGCGCACTCTGCCCATACCAGCGTGGGGACCCTTGCTCCTGCACCCCCAGCTGCTGGGCTGTGGGATCCTGCAGCCTCCAGAGCCTGTCCCTGCTGCGTCAGGCTGGGCTGGGGGCACTGAGGGGCTTGGTGGGGACAGTCCAGCTCCACAGGGCTGCAAATGCCAAGCGCTGGTCGACGTGTCCCTGGGGGCATGGTGGGCATCCGTCCCCTCTGACAGGTGCTGGGTCTGCCCAGGGCCACGCTGGGATGGGCTGGAGAAGCCCCAAGGGCAGTGGCCCGTCCCCCTGGGAGCCAGCTCGGCTTGCTGCAGCGCGGGGAAGGGACCTTGGGCAGGAGCTGAGCTCGGGGGCACGGCCCAGCGCAAGGCTGCAGTG